ATCTATATGTGGGATAAAAAAGACAAACAATAAATGAGCTATTCGACTACTATGCACCAATTGAATTACATTGTATTATATGATTCACAATGGTTATGTTGAGATGAGCTAGTCATCGGTAGAGCAAAGCTCACTAATGAATTTCATCTACTCATCCTTTATTTATTCTATATATATAGTTTTTGATCAGATCATTTATTTAATAAATAAAACTTCATAATGAAATTTAGTTAAAAGTTTTTAAAAAATTAATATTATTTAATTTCAATAAAAAGAAATCAAATTGGCGTCATCTATACAATAGATAAAATATGATTAGTAAAAAAACAAAAAGCATGACGATTGTTGTTGTTGTTGTTGTTATTGCTGACGATGAATGAATGTGAGGAGGACATTGACAAATTTTCTAAACATGGAATATTTGGAAAGAAGTTGTCTTAATTTAACATTAAATTTAGATAAATGTATTTGATATAAATATATATAGTGATATATATATATGATAAAATAAATAATTGATGTCCTTGATAATTGATCGAAACGTTTTGTTTTTATAGATATTTATTCGTTTATTTTTTGATTTGAATAATCGAGTGATGAGTACAATATTTCGAAGCGAGGAGATGACATTATGTCAACTCTTCTTACAACCTGATGCTGCTTATGCTTGTATATCTGAATTGGGTGAATTGGGAATTGTACAATTTCGTGATGTATTATTATTTTAACTTTTTTTGTTTTTTAATAAAATAAAATTTTTATTACTTGTTTTTTATTGTTAATTTAATTAGCTGAATCCAAATGTTAATTCTTTTCAACGTAAATTTGTAAATGAAGTTCGACGATGTGAAGAAATGGAACGAAAACTTCGTATGTGTTATTATATGTTTATATTGATTTCGATTTCTATTTGTGTTTTTTGTTAGGATTTCTTGAAACAGAAATAAAAAAAGATGAATTACCTATTTATGATCCAGAAGATAATCCCGATGCACCAAAACCTCGTGAAATGATCGATCTTGAAGTTTGTTTTTATTTGTTCTTTTTTCTATATGTAAACTTGTGAATATTTTAGGCAACATTTGAAAAATTGGATCATGAATTAAAAGAAATAAATACAAATGCTGATGCACTTCTTCGAAATTTCAATGAATTAACTGAATTAAAACATAATTTACAAATGACTCAAGGATTTTTTGATGAGGTAATTTAAATAAATAAGGATAAAGCTTTGCTTTTAAATTAACGAGAGAAAAGTAGGCAGAGACGGCATTTACATCAGCACACAATCATAACGATAGGGATGCGGACGACGATCAACTTCAACTGCTTTATGAATATTCGATGATCACTCATAATAAATTGGGGTAGAATAAATGAAAATTTTTTGTTGAGAGGGGGACACAAACAATTGCTGCTTATTTAATCATTTCCTTTTTTTTTTTTTAATATGATAAACATGCTTGTTTTTCTTTTCTTAAGCTCTGCTCTTCGATTCCTTTTTCTCTTTTTTTATTTTTTCTAAAGGCTCAAGCTAATCCAGTTGGTGTTTTGGAAGATATTTCTGCTGAACGAGAAATTGAATTAGGTGGACAACCAACATCGGCTGCTGGAATGAAACTAGGGTAAAATCTAAAAAAACAAAAAAAAACTTGATCAAACAAAAAAGTATATATGTTTGTGTGGCATAATTTGTGTCCCCCTCTTAAATATGTTTGAATAAGATAATTAATTATTTATTGTTAATAATTTTGTTTTGTTAATATAAAATAGATTTATAACGGGTGTTATTCCACGTGAACGTATGGTTGCATTTGAACGAATGTTATGGAGAGTTTGTCGAGGAAATGTTTTTGTTAAACAAGCTGACATTCCAGATTTAATTGAAGATCCTCTTACGGTTTGATTCAGTTTTTTTTTGTTTAATTAATAATTATTTATTGATTATATTTAGGGTGAAAAAGTTCATAAAACAGTATTTGTTGTTTTCTTTCAAGGTGAACAATTAAAAAATCGTGTTCAAAAAATTTGTGAAGGGTTTGTATATTTTATTTATTAAATAAAACAAGAAAAATTTTAATTAAAATAATATTTAGTTTTCGTGCAAATATTTATCCATGTCCAGAAAATCCTCATGAACGTCGTGAATTAGCAATGGGTGTAATGACACGTTTAGATGATTTAACTGTTGTTCTTAGTCAAACTCAAGATCATCGTCAAAGAGTTTTAGCAGCAACATCAAGAAATCTTCGAACATGGCAAATTAAAGTTAAAAAAATCAAAGCTATTTATCATACAATGAATATGTTTAATAATGATGTTGCAAGAAAATGTTTTATTGCTGAATGTTGGGCACCTGTTTCTGAACTTGATAGAATTCAATTAGCACTTAGAAAAGGATCTGTAAGTTTCATCATTGATTTCTTAGTTATCTATTTGAATAAAACTAATTTATAAATAATCTTTTTTATTTTTTTTTGAAATAATTGTTAAGAAATGAATAAACAAATAAAACAATGAATATATTTGTATATTTGAATAGGAAGCAAGTGGTGGTGGAACAGTATCATCAGTATTAAATCGAATGATAACTCGTGAACAACCACCAACACATCATAAATTAAATAAATTTACACAAGGTTTTCAAAATTTAGTTGATGCATATGGTGTTGCAACATATAGAGAAATAAATCCAATGCCATTTGTATTAATAACATTTCCATTTTTATTTGCTGTTATGTTTGGTGATGCTGGACATGGTCTTCTTGTATCTGTATTTGCTATTTGGATGGTTTTAAAAGAACGTTCACTTAAAGATAAATGGAGAACACAAGAAGTTTGGACAATATTTTTTGGTGGAAGATATATTATTTTATTAATGGGATTATTTTCAATATATACAGGACTTATTTATAATGATGTTTTTTCAAAATCATTAAATATATTTGGATCATCATGGAGAGTTAGATTTGGGTAAATAAAAAAATTCATTTTGTTTTTTGTATTTCTGAAAAAAAAAAACTCTATTTATATATATTATTATTAAAAGAGATGATATATTAACTAAATCTGGTGTTGATACAGTTCAATTAGAACCAGTTCCATATAATTATACAAAATCTATTGAATATCAACAAATGTATAGTGGTACACCATATCCATTTGGTCTTGATCCTGTTTGGCAATTATCAGAAAATAAAATAACATTTACTAATTCAGTTAAAATGAAATTTGCAATTATTATTGGAATAATTCAAATGGGTTTTGGAGTTTCTCTTAGTTTATGGAATCATTTGTAAGTTTAATAAATAAATATTATTTTAATTAATTAATTAATTAATTAAATAGACATTTTAATCATCGTTATGCAATATATCTTGAATTTCTTCCTCAAATAATATTTTTATCATGTATTTTCTTTTATTTAATTATATTAATATTTTATAAATGGACACATTTTGATGGAAGTATTGCAACAACAGCACCATCATTACTTATTCGTAAGATTTATTATTTAAATAATTTAATTCGAATGTTTTTTTTATTCTGTTTAAAAAAAAGAATTAATAAATATGATATTATTATCATATCCAAATGAACCTGAAAGTTCAAGAACATTTTATAGTGGTCAAAAAGGAATTCAAACAGCTCTTATTATACTTGCTGTTATTTGTATACCATGGATGCTTTTAGGAAAACCAATATATAGAATTATTATGAATAAACGACGAGCTAATGTAAGTTAACATTTTTATTTTATTTATATTTAATTATTAAATAAAACACAAAACAAATAAAGTATTCAACAGTAACAAATCATACAGAACATGTTGAACATGATGTTGAAGAACAAACACATGAACATGAGTCGGCAAAAAAGGTTTTTTTTATTAATGCAAAAGCTTTTATTTTAATTAAAAGAATAATAATAATAATAATAAAGCTATGAATAATAATAATAACTAATAAAATGCTGCTTATTTTTCTAGAGAGGCGTTGTGCTTGATGTTGATATGCGGGATACAGATACTGATGAAATGCTTGATGATGATCATTTACATCTACAACACCATCAAATTGAAGTGCTTTTTATTAATATTTGAATAAATAAATAGGTTATTTATAAATAAATAAAAATGTTTGATTATAGGTTGAAATGAGTGAAGTATGGGTTGAACAAGGTATTCATACAATTGAATATTTTCTTGGTTGTATATCTCATACAGCTTCATATTTACGTCTTTGGGCATTATCATTAGCTCATGCACGTTAGTTTAGTTATTTTTATTTTTTATTTAATAAATAAATAAATATTTAATTAAGAATTAAGTGAAGTATTATGGCAAATGGTATTACGTATTGGATTATCAATGAATGGTTATATTGGTTTTATAGCATTATTTTTAGTATTTATGCCATGGTCATGTTTAACGGTATTTATATTACTTTTAATGGAAGGACTTTCAGCTTTTCTTCATGCACTTCGACTTCATTGGTTTGTTTTATTTTATTAAATAAATTTTTAAAAATAAATATATTATTTATATAGGGTCGAATTTCAATCGAAATTTTATAAAGGCGAAGGTTATCCATTTATTCCATTTTCATTTCGACTTTTATTGGATGAAGTTCCTATTGAAGGATAATTAATCACAACATAAATAACATATATATTATTGATCTATATATTATTCGTCTCGATATTTAACTTATCTCTCTTTATCTCTATCTCTCTTTTTCTGTCTCTCATTACTTATCTATTTATTTTAATCATCGATCTATAACTATTCTCGAAAATAAACTTTCCATCAATTTTGTTGTTGTTGTTGTTGTTGTTTGTGTTGTCCTATTGTTGTCTCTCAAGATTAAATTATTTAAAAATAAAAGAACAAATAAAACATCTAAAATAATAAAGATAAAATAAAAAATATATTTTAGATAAATCTAGTTGTTATTGTTGTTGTTGTTGTTGTTATTGTTTTTTAATTGAATGATATTAAATGGGTCAACATCAACCAATACTTCCTTTATTTAAAACAAATTTAACACGACGACGTTTTCGTACATGGCAAATTCTTGCTTTAGTTGCTTTAGTTTTTCTTGGTTTAACATTAATTGCTGTTCGATATTTACCAACAGTTGTTATTGATCCTGTATTAGTACTTAAAAATCGAGATTTTAAAGATATATTTGTTCCACCAATACCTCGTCCACCAATAAATTGGCCTCATCAAAATCATAATCATTCTGTACATTTAGCTGATGATCAATCAAGATTAAAACAACAAATTGATAAAAATAAAGCCAATTTAATTAATTTAGATGGTGATAATCATGAAAATTCAAATGATATTGATGAAAAAACGAAATTATATAAAACATCATCTCAAAAATCAATATTACCTCAAGAAAATATAACACAATTATTTAGTCATATGTCTATTGAAGAACTTAAAAAAATTCAATCAGTTGATATGCGTCGAGAAAAAGTTCGAGAGGTTAGTTTTTGTTTTTTTCTTTTTTCTTTTTTCTCTTTTATAATATTTTATGATTGAGAAAAGAATTGAGTGTTCGTTGATGTGTGACAAACGAAATGTGCTCATTAAAATGGTTTGATCATATCGACATCCATTAAACACACTGTTTAATGAATGAATAAAGATGGCCATCGTTACGGCTGTCATCACATATATTCATCATTATCGATGACCGATGAATAACTCTCTTTATTTCAATGTCGCAACGTTCAATTCAAATAAGCAAAAAACGAAAAAAAAAAATGAAAATGTAAACGAAAAAAAGAAAAAAAAAAGCGTTGTGTCATCAATCTAAAGATCTTTCTTCTCGCTCTTATTAACCAATCGATGAAAAATATTGTTTGATATAGTAGTATACTTTTTTTTTCTCGTATGATATGTGTTTATTGAAGCGTAACTTTGCCCGTTCAATGGGTCAACCTATATGTATAGATAAATATTCAATTCATTCATTCATTTATATCGGACGACACTCACATCACATACAACATTCGATTTCTTGTTGATTATATATTTCAACATATATATATATTTATATATTTATATATTAAAACAATATATTATATTCGACATGGGTCTCTTTGGAAATAAACGTGAAAAATCTGAAAAGGTAGATAAATATGAATATAATCCATCTGGTAAAGGTGCTCGATCTGGATATGGTGCATCATCAATGGGTGGTACACCACCATCACCATATTTAACAGGTGGTACTCCTTTTTTTGATGGATATGGACAAGTTGCTCCACAAGGTAAAATGGGTAAATATGGTAAATATGCTGGTCAAAATAAAAATCTTTATGGTACTGATCCAATGCAACAAGCTATGTTATTACCACCTCAATCAGCTGCTGCAATGCAAGCTCAAGCAGCTGCTATGCTTCAAATGCAACAATATATGCAAGGACAAGGTGGTGCTGGTCAATTTGCTGGTATTCTTCCACCAATTCAAATGCCATTAAGTGCTGCTCAACAAGCTGGATTAGTTCCAACAAGTCAAGTTCAACCATTTTATGGTTTTGCTGGACAACAAGTTGGAACACCTTATTTTGATCCAAATAGTGGAGCATTTCAACAACAAGGTGCATTTGCTCCTTATCAACAACCAAATATGTATGATCCATCATCAGCAGCAGGAATATATGCTGGTCCATATGGTTATATGCCAGCTGCTTTTTAGATTAAATATATAGACAATTAGTGTGAACTGTTCTTTTTCTTTTCTTTATTTCTTTTTTCTTGTTTTAAAAACCTTTTTTTCGATCAGTCGCTTATATACGAACGATATGAGTTGAGATAATCGAATAAAGGTGAGTGTTGTCCGGACATCAAAGACGTCTTCTAAACCGCAATTATCCATGTCACAAGTCTGGAAGTTCGATCATCTCAATTGTTTTTCTTTCGTATTTCTTTTCAACTTTTTATTCTCTCTTTCTCTCTTTCTCTCTCTCCAATAGTCTTTCTTTTGTTGTTTAACAACTTTTTCTGATAATTTTTTTTTCCTCGTTTTAATCGTCTTTTATTCAACTTGATGTTTTATCATTATCTTTATCTATAGAATAATTATCCTAAACTTATCGACAATGAAACAATCGATTCTCGTTTTGAAAAAAGAAAATAAATTAAGAAGAGATTTGTTGCTCACTTGTGTCATATATTAATATCATATATATATATCTGAGAAAGAACAATAACAAAAAAAAATATTCTTTTCAATAATGATAAAATAATAATAATTATGTTTTGTTTTTTTTTTCTTAATTAAAACAGATGATCCATCATGCTTATTCAAATTATGCTAAATATGCATGGGGTGCTAATGAACATCGTCCTATATCAAAAACAAGTCATTCAGCAAATATATTTGGATCGAGTCCATTAGGAATATCAATAATTGATAGTATTGATACGATTTATCTAGCGGATCTTAAAGATTTTTATCAAAAATCTCGAGAATGGATTGAAACAAAATTTGATCCAAATCAGGTTTGTTATTTATTATCTTTCTTATTAATTACAATGTATATATTTATTTTTAGCCAAGTGAAGTATCAGTATTTGAAATAAATATTCGTCTTGTTGGTGGTTTTCTTTCGATTTATGCATTAACAAATGATAAAGTAAGTTAATTTATATTAAAATAATAATAAAAAAAAAAATCGAATAATTCAATCTGTTATTCGATTGAATGAGACGATAATAGACACAAATTAAAATAGAAAGAAAATTTTTTTTTTGAAAAATTTTCAAATATAAATTATCAATATTGATAAATATTCTTGTCAAAATATAAAAAACAAATTAATGAAATAAGATTTTTATTAATAATATATTTAATATCAATTTTAAATAATAAACAAATGTAGATCAGAGATTTCATTGTGATATTATCTTTTAAATGATTTATTTTAATAATTGAATATGTCAAAAATATCTTTGTCTATAGTTTTATAGATGATAGGAAATCATTGAATAAATATTTAGTTTTTCGAAGACTAAATAAATCATGATAGAAATTATATTCATTATGCAACAAATCTCGATAAAAGAGAGAGAGTCTAAATAGATTAAATGAATATTTGTTGAAATAGTAATTTAAAAAAAAAAAGAAAATAATTCTTGTATAATTGTAGTTATATCTTGATAAAGCTGAATTAGTAGCTAATCGTCTTCTTCCAGCATTTGATACTCCAACTGGAATTCCTCATGCTCTAATAACATTATCAAAGTTAGTTTTGTCTTTATTTAATTCGTTTATATATCAAAAATAAATGAAAATAATTTAAAGTGGAGGATCAAAAAATTGGAATTGGGCAGCTGGTGGTTGTTCAATATTATCTGAATTAGGAACAATACATCTTGAATTTCAATATTTATCTCAATTAACAGGCAAAGATATTTATTTACAAAAGGTCTAAATCTTTTTTTTATTTTTATTAATTATTTCTTTTAAATCGATGAAGAATATTTTCTTTTTTATTATTTGAATTATATATAGGTAGAAAAAATACGAAAAGTTCTTAAAGAAGCATCAGATAATCATATGTATTATAATTATATTAATCCTCAAACAGGAAAATGGTGTCAAAGTAAATTTTATATATTTTTTTTTAAATAAAAGAAAAAAAATAAAATTGTAGAACAAGCATCTGTTGGTGCATTAGGTGATAGTTTTTATGAATATTTATTAAAAAGTTGGGTTTTATCAGGAAAAAAAGATGAACAAGCTCGTTCAATGTATGAAGATGCTATGAAAGTTAGTTCTACTTCTGTTGTTTTTTTTCTTCTTAATAAAATAGAAAAATAAATTAAATCTATTAATTAAAGGCAGCAGAAGAATCAATGTTAAGAAAAACTCCAACAACTAATTTAATGTATTTTGGTGAACAACGTTCCGGTCGTTTAGATCCTCAAATGGGTCATTTAGCATGTTTTATTGGTGGTCTTTATGTATTATCTGCTTTATCTGGTGCTGTATCATCAAATTCTTCAACTACAAATCAAATGGAAATAGCTAAATCTATTGGAAAAACATGTCAAGAATCTTATATAAGAACAGGTTATTACAAAAGAATATTATTTAAAATAATAATTAATTTGTTTTGTTTATAATTAATTAAATAGCAACTGGTCTTGGTCCTGAAGCATTTCATTTTGAAAGAGTTGATATTGAAGCAAAATCATTACGAGATAATGAAAAATATTATATATTAAGACCTGAAGTTATTGAAACATGGTTTTATTTATGGAGAGGTACACATGATCAAATATATCGAGATTGGGCTTGGGATGCTATTATTGTATGTTTACATTTGATATATTTTTATTTTTTTGTTAACAATAATATATTTAAATTAATTTAAGAGTATTGAAAAATATTGTCGAGTTGATGGTGGTTATTCCGGTATAAGAGATGTTTATTCAACAACAGTTTCTCATGATGATGTTCAACAAAGTTTTTTTATTGCTGAAACATTAAAATATCTTTTATTAATTTATTCTGATGATACTTTTATTTCTTTAGATACTTATGTATTTAATACTGAAGCTCATCCTTTCCGTATTCGTACTTCGTGAATTGTTATTTTTGTTTTTTTTTTTGCTCCTTTGTTATTTTTTATCTATGACTTAATAAATTAACAAATGTTTGCATTTTTTATCTTCGATTTTATAAATATAATGACAGAAAAACCATCTTATATTTATTTCGATACTAATCGAACAAATAAAATTATTTCTTTATTTATATTAAAAACATTTCAATTTTGATTTGTTTGTTGTCAATTAATATGAATTTATTCGAAATGATAACTATTTGAAGATATGATTTTATTTTTATCATAGTCATATTTGTTTATTCTTTCTTATTTAACATAGAAAATAATTTTTATAGAATTTATTGATAATTTTATCTATATATATATCTCACTATCCTCTTATTAATCAAATAAAAAATAAGATTCATTTCAGTTTCGTTTAATATAAGAACAAAAAAATAGATTGATTAAAAATCCACACCCCATTAAGGTGACCGGACTTTTTGTTGCAAGACAAATCGTTGCGGACAAATCGTTGCAGACAAATCGTTGCAAGGACATTTCGTTGCAGGACAATTCGTTGTAGGAAAATTAGTCGCGGACATATCGTTGTGGACAATTCGTTGCGGACAAATCGTTGTAAAAAAGTCGTCGCATGGACAAAACGTCGAGGGACAAATAGTTGCACGGACAAAACGTTGTAGGGACAAATAGTTGCACGGACAAAACGTTGTAGGGACAAATAGTCGTATGGACAAAACGTGGTAATAGTCTATAATTTGCTGTATACAATATTTGAAAAATGTCAGTGCCAATGTGATAGTTTAAAAATTATTTACTAGGTTTCTTTCCTCTGCATTTTTATATGTAGAACCCTTCCTTCTTTTTATATGTTCTGTGTACGTTTTATTTCACTTTTTTTTTCTCTCTCTCTTCTCATTTCTGGTACTGTTAGGATCTTAGGATCACAGTTATTGCATAATAAAAAAAAAAATTATTTACTAAATTTTTGTAGACAATGATTGGTTGATTCGTTGTTATACTTCTAGAATAATAAATATTTCAAAAGAATGGAATAGTTGACATATTGGAAAATGAAAACTGAATTTCTTATCTATTATTGTAGAATATAAAATTTGACGATTGCAAGGTTTTGTCCATGCGACTATTTGTCCCTACAACGTTTTGTCCTGCAACGTTTTGTCCCTACAACGTTTTGTCCTGCAACGTTTTGTCCTTGCAACGTTTTGTCCGTGCAACTATTTGTCCGCAACGTTTTGTCCGCAACGATTTGTCCGCAACAATATGTCCGCGGCTAATTTTCCTACAACGATTTGTCCTGCAACGAAATGTCCTTGCAACGATTTGTCTGCAACGATTTGTCCGCAACAATTTGTCCTGCAACGAAAAGTCCTAGAACCCCCATTAATAGTGAATATCTTTTGAGTGTAGATAATTAAAAATAATAAAATCTTCATTATTAACAAATGATCTTTCAATCGATTTCAAGTGTATAAATATATTAAAATTTTCATGAAAATATCAAATATACAATTGATTATTATCGAACGTCTAATTAGTCTCATCAAAATTAGATGAAAACCTGTTATTTTCCTATTTGGAACGTAATGTATACATATGTGAGTGAGAAAGAGAGATAATTAAACATTTATTTATGTTAGACTATTGTAGTTATTCTATGATAATAAATTATTTTTAATAAAGTTATATTTATTATAATATACGTTAAATGAGAGAGAGAAATAAATATTTTTTCGAAATATAATCAAATAACTTTGAAACATAAATAAAACTAGTACTTTTTCATTTTAATAGATAAAATAAAAAACATCTTCTGACTATTCTATCATTATTTTGTATCTCAAATGAGTATTCGATGGATTTCTGTTATTTATTTATTTATTCGTTTTTCTCTAAAAAAATCGCTCATAATGAGTTAAGGAACCTTTTTTTTTTAAATATAGGATGTTAATCGTTTCATCGAAATAAATTATTGTCAATACAAATTGTAATCAATTGACACAAGTATTGATATATTCATTTATTTATTATAATGGGATCAAGATAAAAATTGTTTGGTTTTAGGAAAAAAGATCAGAGACAAGATTGTAAAACAAAAAAACAAATAAATATTATTTCGATAAGGATAATTGAAAGAAAGAATAATAACAGAATACAAAACAAAATGTTGAGATAGAATATCTGATAGATCAACATAAAAGAACAAGATTAAAATCATCGTTAAACTTATGTTTAATATGATAAATTGAAATTGTATTTAATATATGATTGAAAATAATAATTAATAAGACTAAATATAAATCAATATCGATCAAATAATCGAAAAACAAAAATCAATTGTTTATTTTCATTATAATTTATAGAAAAAGATTTATGAATAAAAAACAAACAAATTTGATTTAGTTTTCAATAGTTTTGAAATATTTTTGTCAATATTCAATAAATTATTTTATAAATTTTAAAATAAGACAAAAAAAAAGGATCGAACGCTAAACTTTATTGAACAGATTAATTATGAATATATTCAAAACAATTTTCAATAAAAAACTTATTGATAATGAGATATTTTACATTTACAATATATTTAAAGTCAATTTCATTGTCTCTATCATAAACATAACAAATATCAACGTTTAAATAATAAATTGAAACTTTTCATAATGACATATTTTGTAGAAATGAGTGTTTTTCAAAAACCTTTCAATTGTTTTGATTTGTTTTGAATTCATGAAATAAAAATGTCGAATTTGTTTTGGTATATGAACAATGTCAAAGATCTATTTTCTTTTTTTTTATCATAGTCGAAGTTTAATATATTAACAATGAAATGATGTCAAACTTTGACAAAAAATTATTTTCGTTAAGAAAAAACTGCAAGTCAATATTTAAAAATGGCTTTAACTGATGTTTTATTTATATTGTTCATTTATTTTCTATAATAATTTCTTTTCGAATTTGATTGAAAAATTAGTTTTTTTTTGTTTTTATATTTGATTGATTTTTTTTTCTTTTGTTTTGAAAGAATTATTCAAAAAACAAAAAAGTATCAATCAAAATAGAATTTAAAAATCGAATCAAGCAAGACTACATGCCATATCAGACATTTTGTATCTTTAAAACAAATAAAATAAAATCAAGAAAATTATAATTTGGCTTAATCAATGAATTTTCATTTTTTTTGTTTCAAAGTGAATCTAATCGACGAGAAATAATATCAATTTTCGATTAGTTTTTATTTATTGAATAAGGTCAAAAATGTTCGAAGGCATCATGGAAAGATCATCGGATAGAAAATTATTTTCTCGTCAAAAAGAAAATAGTCGACGTTTGTTTTTTAAATAAGTTTTTCTTCTCGGTAATAAATAAATAAAGAAAACCAAAAATAATCAATGGTGCTCTAATGAAATTCGATGGTAAGTGTTCAGTATAAATAATGAATTGTTAAACAATATTCTCGTCTATGATTGCAAAATCTTTTCAAATCTTGTGATAGTGTCTGTCAACTTCAAAGTGTTTTCTAAGTAACACATGCCAATACATTCTATTGAATGGATTTTTCAAAATGAGCTCTGTTCTATCAACGGTTTCTTTAAGTTTCTGAGTGAACAGAAAATTCAATTCTGAATAAAATAAGCCTCAAATTATATTTAAGGTGAAATAATGAAGATATTTTAAATAAGAAAAAACAATCGATGTCGTAGATCTATTAGGACAAGTTTCTTTTGTGTTTTCTTGTCTAATATGTGCTTTAAAACTAGTTATTGAAAAGATTATTTTGCTAAAGTCATGAAACCTCATTCAATACACAAATTGGCATATAATCTCTGACTATATATTGAGTATGAGAGTCTTACTTTAATCATTGTTAATCGTTTTGATTTTTTTTTGGTTAGAAGAAAAAATTTCTTTAAAAAAAAACAAACTGGATTATTTTCTAAAGCTAAAAATTGTCTATCGAATAAGTTTATAATTGTCTAGTTAAACAACATTGTCTGTCTTCAACGGAATATTTCAGAATGCTATATATTTATTTATTATTAAATGTGATAGTGATATTTACTCTTTTCGTGTTTTTCTCTCAATGATAAAATGGTATTTGATTGTTCTATATTATTATTATATAAACTGAAGTTAATAAAAGAGAACGCTAAATAAGTTAACTTTGTTCTAAATCCATGTGATTAAAATCTCATTAAATAAAAAAAAAGTTCGATTATTTAAAAAGATAAGGAAACAATGTTAAGTATCATATTATTTAATGATATTTGGTTGTCTTATATAAGAACAGATGATCATATTCACATAAGAAAAACGCTTATAAATCTAAATATCCTTTGCAAGAAAATTCAACAATAAATAATATTTCTTTTTTTTCTCTTTGATTTAAAATGTTTCATTTATTTTTGTTGATTAAAGTAATATAATGTTGAATATATTAATTATAGATATGTTTCGATTGAATTTTTCTATATTAATTCTATTTATTTGTATACATTCAATAAAAATGAATGTTGAAACTATAGATGAATCAATTGAAAAGAGTATTGAACATTTATTTTCATTATGGACAATTCCTTGTTCTGAATGGTTAATGGTATTTACAAATGATGCTGTTTGGTATCATCCGAAATTTCCTGATGGTTTGAAATATAATCAATTATTAGATTTTTGTCAAATGAATCAACAAACAAAACCAGCATTATTTCGTCAAGATGGTCAAATAAAATTAACAATTAGTGGTAATAGAACATCATCACCTTTATATCATGCTATGGTTCCTTATCTTTATGGACAAATTCAAAATGAAAATAATAATTCATTATTTATAAATAGTGGTTTTGAATATATTCAATTAATTAATAATTCGAAAAATCAACTTCATATTAATATGGTTGTCGAATTCTTTAATCGAGCTTCATTACCATTTGTTTGGCCACCAAATAATTAATTAATAATACTTACAAGAGGCTTTTTTTTCTTATATTAGCATTAAATAAAGAAAAAGAAGTTTATTCAAAAAATATTTTAATTATTTATTTAATAAAAACATCAAACAAGTTTTTTTTTCTTTTTTTATGTCGATATGAATGCGATTAACGTTATATGTATTGAATCAGTCTTAAAATCATATTTTAGAAAACGTCAATACCTAAGATATTTTGATTTGTTGATAAATTTCTTAAATAATTTAGATCAACGAAAACATTGTGTCACCTATTTATATAGATGTTTTTTCAAACTGGTCGAATTATAATTAAAGAACTTTTTTTTTATCTATTTATCAAACAAATCGATTCAGTCATACCTATCAGAATTCTTTTCATCTGACCATAGTAATTTAGATTGTTGGCGTTTAGGATCAGTTTTTTAGGTTAGACGTATTGGTATGACAAGCACGAAATAATGTCATTTTCGAAGTAGAACTTGATACTCTAGCAAAAATTAGCTATCAACATCTAAACATTAATTCTTTAGAAAAATCATCTATATATGATAACTAGTTTAAAAATGTTGTCACTATAACTATGTAATAGTCTAAGTACCTTATCTTTCAAGTTTTGCAATTTCACTATCTGACTTGACAAATCGATTTAAGTTTTAAGAGAAAATTCTGGAAGACATTCTGGTAGATATTCTTGTCTGAATATTTTTAATAACTAACTTGAAAAGTGTATTGCAGTAAAAAATCTCATTTTGAATGAATGCATTTAATAGTTTAAATCACTGAGAATATCTTAATATAATTAAGAATTGGGAAATTTTTTCGTGATCATATGTTTTATTTTTAATTATTTATTAGAGTTAAATACAATAAGAGTTTGACAACAAAAATTCATCTTTCGCATATTAATTAATTATTAATAAAAAAAGAAAAAAATGTTAAATTAGATGTTTTCCCCAAGGTGGACTCCAACATAATTGATATCTACCAACAGTTTGACATCTACCATCACAACATTTCTCGTGAATTTGACATTGTTTATATAATGGAATACAATTATTATTTGGTTTTATTGGATTTGTAGAAATTATTGAAAATAACCAGAATATAATTATTAATATTTTAAGAAATAATGAAAACGAAGCCATTTCACTTTGAAGATTTTTTTTGTCTAGATAATAATCAATAAAAAGAAAAATTGAAAACAATTTTAACCAATATATCTATTTTAAACAGATGAATATATTCTCATATGTTATCGTATAACAATCGAAAATATATTTACTTTTGTAATCGTTAAACAAGAGACTTGTTTTGAATTGCATTTGAAAATAAAAATATCTCGCTTTATTAATGATCAAAACAAATATCCGGATCTTTATCAAACAAATTCAATCGGGAAACCTAGGTCAACCCAACATGTTTGGTACGCGTACCAAGCATGTTGGGTTGAGCTTGGTGAACAGTAATATCGAGATGATGCTACATAATCTTTTTTCTTCTTTGGTTCGATCGATTAACCGATACCATATACATGTAGTTCGTTTTGTACCAGAGATGTCCATGGCGGTGCGGTAGCGGTTGGTTTTTAAAAAGACCATAGCGGCAGCGGTCACTTATTTCCTTTTACCGTCGCGGTGCGGCGCGGCAGCGGTTGACGTTTTGGAAAAAATTGTTAATTTCTTCCTGTGATTATCTATAACAGTTTAGATTATAGTTCCATTATGATTCAAATTAGAACGAATTTTTTGTCTCAATCAAGAGATTTCAATTGTTCTTTCATCATGTAAGAGAAAAAATAAGCACCAGCGTAGTGTGATTATATGATGATCTTATTTGAGAGCATGTCCATAAAGTTTCTGAGATACTTATTCTATAGTATTATGATTGTTATATCTATCAATTGGTCATATTTTCATGTAATATAATAATTTTCATTGCGTGAGCATTTCTCACTAATGAACACTAACTTATTATTAACTTTTGGTCAAGTGAATTGGCATCTTCGGAATTTCCTTTTTGAAATATCTTGCCCGAAAGCTTTTTCGATACCTGCTACATCTTTAAAAATCGAAAGAGTTTTTAGCTACGATGGGATTGTATTAATCAATAGAGGATAGAAACTATTACCTGATCAAGTGAATAGTGTGTCGGTTATCAGAAGAACTCGATAAATCTTAGGAAACGCAAAATTAACTCATTCAACATGCAAATGATTACTTTCTTGTAGAAAATTTTTATATGAAATTAATTTTTAAAAGTATGAAATATTTAAATAGTTTAATCGATTCTCCGGAGTCTTTTTTTGTAACAGATATGAATCCAGCTTTTGTATCGATGACAGAAAAAAATATTTTCTTGGAACTCATACATATCGAATAATAAATCGTAGTATTCTAGATCATGATATCGCATTCTATTTCATTTTGCTCCTTTGGCACTATATAATCTCATACTGAGTCTAAGTTTCCATAATTTCTAGCTCTTTCTTCTGCGAAGTATCCGTTGTGCGAATGGAAAATGAATATCTTATTTGATCTGTACCATTTTTTCTAGATAATTAAAAATCGTTGTGATTTCAAATGGTTTTGATTATTCAATGTGTGCGTATTATTAGGCTGAAGATTTAGTGAATTCGTAATTGTAAGCGGTTTCGTCATCTATCAATTGTATAATACATACGCATGTTTTTATATTAGAGGACAGCAGACAATGAACGAAAGTACTCCTGAGTACTTTCTTAATTTCGCCGTGGCATTCTTTCATGTTTTCACAGATATAGAACCATAGGACTTTCTACCCGTAACATCGGCATACTTAACTTTTTGATAAAGATGGTCCATAGGGAAAATCAGAAAGTACTTTAAACAATCGCCCGCCCTTATAAAACGATCGTTAAAATGTTAAGTATTCTTTGTTTTTTGTCAAAAGAACATTTTCATCTAATGATGAAGTGCAGTGTTTTAGATGCTGGCGTTTCGTGGAAAACAAGTCCTATGACTCTATGTCTGTCAAAGCATGAAATAATCCTAAGGCGAAAACAAGCACTGTCAGAGTTAAAACAGCTTATGACTATTTCAACCGTTTCAACTCAATGGGTTGAATCGATTCATAACTGATTCAACCAGTTTTAATTCCAACAGTGAAAATAAGAAAGTACCTGCGTTTAGTGTTTGGAAGATAGAACGTTCTAAAGACTATCCTATTCATAACGCTGCGGCAGCGGAAGATTTTCAGTAGCGATGGACATCTCTGCTAAGTATGTTCGATAATTTGCCAAAACTTCAAAGCTCATGCTTTTCTTGAATGGTAGAACTATGTATATTACAACTACTTCAGAATTTGTGGGACATCATTTTTATCAATCGTTCGCATCTTGCTCACCGGCCAAAAAAAAGCTACAAAATGGGATATACAGCGTCACCAAAACGACCATTCACAGTATGTAGAAAAAAACAGATTTGAAATTAAGTGATTTTTCGTCAGTAAAAATGACAATGCTTATGTAAATGAATAAATATGAATAAAAGACGTTCTTTAACGAAACATAGTAGAATTTTTGAAGCAAGAAAAACAATGCCATTAGAACAATTAAGTATACTTATTATTCCACAGAAATGAGGGATAAATTTATGACAAAGTTTTAAGTGATACTCTATTCTACGCAGCAACCGATAAGCATTAATTACTTCAATTTGTAGCGATAGGATCGATGAAAATAACTACCGAAGAATAATAACATTTTTTATCTTTCAATCATATTCAATCGCTATAACATACGAGAGAATTTCTATAACTAATCATCATAATAATAAACAAATGAAACTGAAAGCTTTGGAGTAAGACAAAAACGGATTTCATACAGAAACTGATAGTACAAGACATTAGATCAGAACGAAAATGAGCATGTATCCTTATCAATTCGCTTTCCTTAATAATCAGAGCAATATAACAAAAAAGTTCACTTTTTTTTGTGGATGGCAAAAAGCAGAAAAAAAATGTCGAAAGAGAAAAATATCAAAAATAGAAATATCGAAAACAAAAACATGAGATGAAGATGAATCTGTAAAATTAAAGATAAGAATGAGAGAAACTTCAACTTGAATATACTCTCGTTATGACCATTTGTACCCATCGACATTTCTATTAATATATTGTTTTCAATATTCTTATTTTCGACATATTTCTGTTTCTCATACTGTTTTTTCTCCATTGTGTTCAATCGTCCAAAATGTTATGAAATGAATCAGTGGTCAATATTGGTTACATAGACAATGACTGCTTAATCTATTGGTCGATTTATTCATTAGACTTTATTATACTATATTCACCACGTATGTCCTATTTATGAATTCTTAGTTCAGTTTGTCAGTCAATGAAATGAAGAATTCAACTTCATTTGAAGATTTATCGAACGAAGTTTTATGTGAAATCTTTGATTATTTAAATGTATTCGATTTATTCTTAGCATTTGCTTCTCTTAATGAACGTATTTCAACTATTTTAAAATATATTCATTTTCATATAATTGTCGATTCGATGTATTATCGCTATCAAATTGAATTTCTGTCTCATCATCTGACATTTCATTCTCATCAAGTTATTTCGTTGGATATATCTGATAAAATCTGTGATCAAATAGATACTACTGCCTACCGTTTTGACCAATATAACTTTCCTAATCTTCATTTCTGCACATTTCGATGTCGTGATGAATCATCTAAACTGAAAAATGTCATCAAACGATTAATGAAACAAACTCAACTTGTATCGCTTCATATATTTTAATCTTGCGATGCTAAATATGATTACTTGAACAGAAATCATGCATATCTATTCAGTGAAATTGTTTTGTTAAACATACCATTATCACTTCGTTGCGCTACTCTTCGATTTCACTATGGTTATTATCAATTAATAACAACTACAATTATAAATACAAATCTTACATATCCGGATTTATTGTTCTACGCCAAAGCTTTTCATTAGATATTGTTTTATTTTCT